TTGGAATATAAAATCTATCCATCAAAGCATGTCTTTTCGGTGCTTCAACATTCCGTAGAACCCCGTTAGTTTGAATAGCAAAAATCGCAATTAAACGACGCTCATTTAGATTCTGTTGAACTGGCACCCTAACAGAGGTGCCCGATGGCGTTACGCACCAGTGTAGGGGGTTACAGGTAAACAAATTCTATATGAGTGCCGTTTAATTGCGATTTTAGCTTTTCTAACTAACGGGCTTCTACGGTACAAAGAAAGTACATAAAGAAGACTGGCAACCAGGCTTGAAAATGCTCATTACAGCTAAAATGCTACTTTTCAACATTATGAAACTGTGAGATAGGGAAATGGCTCTAATGTTGGCCTATGAATCTAATATTGGGCTTATCGCAAAAAATCTGCTATTTATCAATTGTATCTAGATGAACGCGTCATTGGGACGGTACTAATGGATATTTTTGATTGCTATTGAAAATTTAGTCGATTACTGAATTTTTGTATGGGCCCAAATTAGGGACACTTAGGCCGACATTACATACATTTCCCCTATTGTAATAGGGGAATTTTCGTATGCTCGGCAATCTAAGCAGCGTCCGCCCTTATATTAGCATTGACTCAGCGTCACGCACACATATGACGTGTTTATTTGTTTACATTTAGCTGCTGCTTACTTCTCTATCCATTCCAATGGACAAAATTGTCCAAACCGGGTTGAAAACGTTTTTACAACGTTCCAAACTTCTCAGGTGAGTGTGGCTACTGTCGGCAGCCTCTTTTGCTTTGTCAACATTTCCATTTGAACTGCATGTTAACCAGCTGTTCTATTATCGGCAACTCGAAATCAGGCGCATTTTAACATGTCTATTTTTCATTTAAAGAAAAATCTAGCCTTTCTTGCTTAGTCGTAAATATGTAATCAGATTGAAGCTAAAAGATTAAGTAATCAGTAGAATACATGCAGCTTAGTGTTTTGATGGGATTATAAAGTGAAATTAACATTTAAATTTGTGCTGCCGAAAACAGTCAATGGATGCCGAAGCCGATATTTACTTTAATAATTCTTCTATGTAAGATGCAAGAAGAGGAGGTTGATGTGTATGACCCATAAATCCTGTCAATATCGTTTCCACGGTGTGACGGTGTGTCACAAATAGCAATTAGCTATAACGAAGAGTACTTGAGCCGGAGCCGGTGGTGTAGTGGTAAGCGTGACTGCTTTCTCACCCCAATGGGTCTGGGTTCAATCCCAGCCGAGGTCGGTGGGATTTTTCTGAGGCCTAAAAAATCTCTGGTCACGTCTTCCTTCGGAAGGGAAGTAAACCCGTTGGTCCCGGCCCATGTGTGTTGAATGGGTGCCATATCCTACGCAGGTGTGGAAGCTGCCTTCCTGCACATTCGATTGCTGTCAATGGATGGCAATCGATGTCCGTCGGTGATTGGCACTAGATTGCGAAACAGAGACCTACGTTAAATAACGGAGAGAAGAAGAAGAAGAGTACTTGCTCAAAGCGATCAAAGAACAGTGAACTCTCTACAACTCGATATTGAAGGGACCATCGAGATATAGAATTATCGAGTTAGGGCATCTTTAGCGGCGATCCAATTGGTTGGTTCGGTCTAAAATTTTGGAGTAGACCCAGACCGAGCCCTTGCACTGGTAGTCTATATTTTGTTTTAGACTAGTCCTAAAATATATTTTTTTAAACCAGTATAATTCTCGATCTATTTTGAACTGAATTTGGATCACTGTTCCAAACTAGTTTGACAGCGGTTGCACTCGAGAATATGTTTTGTTTTGTTTCGTTGTAAGGGTATTTTCTGCAAAACAAACCGATTTATTTCCCCGATTTTCTAAGAAACGTGGGCGGACTGCTGTTGACATTGGTGTAGTTCCAGCTCTATCGCACTATCGGTGCTGCTGTTGCTGCCGGCCCTGTCGTCGTAGCTGCGAAAGGATCAACGGTGCCGTCACCGCCAATTGGACACAACTAGCGCCAAATAAAAGGTACTGTGGTCCCATTGAACGCTATGGAACGTTTGAAGATTGCAAACCTATTATGCGACACATCAAATCACATGCAAATTCAAAAATAAGATCATTGGTAATCAAATAAAGTACCCAGGACCACCTTGGCCACTTCCGGGCATGTTCGGGAAACTCCCAGGGAATTGTCCAGTTTCTGACTTGGGCCAAAACCCAACACGCAACATCATACCAGACAAATTTCAATAAATACAGGTTTTTATTATTATTTCACTTGGAAGCACGAGGAGCAGGAGGACGAGCAGTTCAAGGCTTTTTGTTAAAGCCGCACATCCATCCCGGAGACAGCCATTGGAGGTCTATTTCACGGTAATTTCCGGATAAAAACCGTGTACGAATGCGTACAAGATTAAAAAATGGCTGACCACGAAATCAGGGTGTGAGTTGGTTTTGACTCGGGTTTTGACGTTTGAAATAGAACGGCCAAAAATAGACCAACCGGTGCGTACGCACACAGTTTGACCTATTTTGGCTTGATCTGTTTTAATTTTAGCTGGTTCAAATGTGACATAGATTTGGATCTAGATCAGACCACCGCTAAAGATGCCCTAAAGATGCCCTTATAGAATAAAAACCCAAACACAATCGTTATCACAGTAGCCATGAAATTCATATTTAAGGTGATACTCTAAGGAAGCCTTAGCGTGAAACTTCAAAGGCACAAATGTCAGCTTTCACAAAACATACAAATAGCAATTTCAAATTTGTATGTTTTGTGAAAGCTGACATTTGTGTCTTTGAAGTTTCACGCTAAGGCTTCCTTAGAGTATCACATGCTTATGTAACTCGATATCGAGTTAGTACGCATGTAGTGTGTGGAGAGTTGACTGTAGCTATTTGAGACCTTCTGAAAGCAAAATCTACAGGTTCCATCCATCGGCACACCTTCAACATGCCTTCGGCACACCCTCGCCACAATCTCGTAGGCATTGGATTGTTGTAAATAAAATGGGAGCACTGTTAATTGAGTACTAACTCAGACCAGCAATTTATTTACAAATCTAAATGCGAAATGTAGGTTCTAGAGTGGCTCAAGAGAAAGAACCAGTTAGTGCCCCATTAGTACCATTAATTCAAATATTGCTGCAACTCACACAAAACAAACTAAAGAAGTCTATTCATCATCCTCTATAGTCAGTCTTCAACAATGCTCCCCACCGGTTTCAACTCTTTCCGGCCGCTGATAGACCGCCCTAATAAACGGGTACCATACACTAACGATATCATAGATGGTGCGAGCATCCCACATAAAGTTGGGATGATATCCCGAATTGGTGGTTAGGCGCTTCTTATGGTTATTGTTTATGCGGGCGATGCTTTTCACATCACGAAAAGTTAGGTTTCTGGTCTGCCTTTGAGGGCATTATAAAGCACTAAAACACAGGACTTTTATTACCCTATGTAACACAAAACACCAAAATTTCGCACACCCGCCACTTCCCGCGTCATCCTCAATCCGATTTTTCCTTGCGATTTCAAACCAAAACATTCAAGGTGCCAGAAATGACAAGGTTGCCGGGATGGGTATTTTACAAACAATCGCAGTTTGCTCTACTACCGGCACAATCGGCACACTTGCGGCACATTTGAGGCACACTGACAAAAAAGATGACCCAAGATTGGTGTGCGGAGTAACCTACCCCTTGATTATATCTCATAGTTTCATAATTTCGAAAAGTAGCATTTTAGTTGTAATGAGTTTTTCCAAGCCTGCTGGCAACTCTACCAGATATCAAGGGACAAATACAGTACACGGTCGCTGAGATTAACTCACTGTGAGAATCTTTTCTACTTAGGTGTAAGATACATTTTTTTAAAACCACGGGTAACCGTTGTTTTTAGAAGTTTCTCATACAGCTGAGTAAAAAAGACGCTCTCACTGAATTATTCTCAGCGACCATGTGGCGTAAATTCGCAAACCTTTTTTTTTAGGTTGGCATCTTTGCAATAAAATTTGTTTGAAGCCATCACCTTTAAGCGACAGATGACAAGTTTGTGTCTGTCTCTAATCATTTGTGCAAATTTTATATGTTGTCTTCGATATAAGCAACCGGTGGAAACTAACGATTTTAAATTGGCTCACTTGATTAGCCTATTGGTCCCAAGTACATCTATAAGCGTACCCCATTCTAGTTGAAATTCTAGTACTACACTATGTTTGTTTTGATTCGCTATGAAAGTTTGACAGATAAAATTAGGGGTTCGTGGATTTTCCTATGTTCGAGGGGTGCATCGATTAGCTTGGGACCGAAGAGAGTACCAGAACTGAGCCAAAAAGTTGAGCACGTTTCTTCGAGACCTTCGTGTCTTATAGTTACCTCAATGGTAAAAGTGTGCTTGCCGCACAACAACCAACGCCATGCATTGGTTGGCTTAGAAAGCTCCCAAATAATATTTTAGAAAGTACCGAATGAACATTAAGTTGAGCATACGTTTAGGACACACTGATCAAAATCCTCGCCTATATTTTGCTGCATTTCCCGACCGGAGACCACGTTGAACTCAAAATAATTCATTCACAATTCCGACATCGAAGTCTTTTGAATAATTAGATCCCTGGGAGTAAATTCCATTTGTTGTGTTTCGTGTTGCAATTTTCCCTATGTCTATTGACGTTTGCCGTTATTCTTAATTAAAAACCAATGAAAATAAATGCACTTTTCCAAATAAATGCACAACCGTTGCTCCGAAATTTTATTTAAAAAAAAAAACCTATACAATTCGAACTATTAAATTAAAAGAAAAAAAAATCACTGGGAATGAAATGCTATCTATCAGTTTAGTACTTAAAATTAAGCAAAATATTTAATTTAAAACATAAATGTCAAGGATAATGGCTCAGTCGCTTTCCTTCCCGGAGGCAGTGATGCCCGACTGCATAATATCGATATATCTGATTTTGCTTAGTTTACCAGCAGCGTGTAAAAAGCCTTATCGATTAGTACTATGTACAGCTACGTTTCTTTTATCTTACTCGAATCCGTACTCATTTGGACAAAATGCGTCACGAAACGAAACCGTTTCAAAAAGTATTACAATCGATTTCCTCCTATTTTTACATAAAAATAAAAAAAAAAGAACTTCAATCATTTTCACAGTACGATTTTGCTGCAGTTTTGCTTGTTTTCTCGCTTGAGTAGACAATAAATAAATAATTTTAAACTCTACGTTCATATTCATACGATTCGTTATTAGTTTCGTGGACAGGAGAGAGGATAGGGAAAAGCACTTAAATAGTATACATATGATCTAATACATCGGTTTTATCCTTGTCGCGCTACAAGGCTGTTTTCCATTGTTTCCTCCCCCGGTTTTCTATGGCCATGCATAGGATCGAGAAGAGAGCTTTCCAGAATTTCCGGTATTAAATTACGAAAAATAAATGACTAAATAGTTCATCACTTTCACCACGTTGGCGACGAAGAAGTCTTCATGCACCACCCATTCGCTCCCTCAATTAGCACTCAAACTCGTTGGCCGTTATTGCACTTAGATCCTTCATCAGGCCCTCCAGGTTGGCCATCTCCTGGTTCAGTTCCTCGGTCGACGTCGAAGGGGCCAACCGTTGGATTTCGTCCGTGGAGTGCTGCACCGCCGGCCCGGTCTGGAGCCGGTTCGTTAGCGAATTCGTCGGAATGACGGGCGGCTTCTTGTACGGCGAAGAATTTTGCGGACGTATCGTGACCGAAGGGGTTTGTGCTGGAATACAGTTAAAAAGAAAAGGTTAATCATTCTTCGCTCGAAATCGCATATGACAGCTTCCACAAATCATACAAATTAATATGGACCAACAGGTCTGTGCCATAAAAAGGGAGGAAAAAAAATCATACCAATCTAGATAGAGCTGAAATTAGGGCGTAACAGCTTTTGTAAACAATGCCTTCTTTTGATGATTTCTAGAAAATTAAGGCTTGCCAACGCAAATCAACAACACCATCGGATAGGGGAAGACTTCCTCTACCCGACGGTTATGTTGGTTTGCGAAGGCGTGCCTTGAGTTCCTAGAAATCATCGATAGAAGTCATTGTTTACAAAGGCTGTTACGTCCTAATTCCAGCTCTAAAGCCCGATTCAAAGTAAATTTGGATGCATTCAAGTGATCAAAGGCCGTTCGCAATGCTGAGTTTCAAAATTGTTTCAAACTACTCGTCAATTCTATAATTTGAAACTGTCAAAAATAAAACTGCAACACGATCAGCGCAACGCACAGTTCTAAAACATGTTTGTAATCATCAAGTTCCATAAACTTTACTGTTCTCTATGAAGTTCTCCGTTTTTTTTGTGGAGCTCTTCGAAACATCTTCAACACATCCAAAGAAATTTGAAACAGAGTTCCATTCGTGTTTCAAACTCGCTCAGAAATAAAACAGAATAGTCGAGCAGTTGCAAATCTGGTGCAAAATAGTGCTCGAATAATGAAACTGCAACTCAGCATTGCGAGAGGTGCGTTTCTGTTCTAGTTTCAAATTGAAACAGTCCTTATAAAATACAACAGAATTGCGAACGGCCTAACTCAAGAATTATACAACATACGCGGTTGATCAAAACGTCAAACAAACGGGTATTTATTCAGCTTTCAAACAATTGTATAACAAAATATTACATTTCACCGCTTCGAACGAATTGTCGCACTTTACTTGTGATCGATGCCATCATGATCTGCACAATCGCTGGTGACACTGTACCGGCGAACTTATTCCACTTTAAACGCATTTGTTTTACATTTGGCACTTCTTTACCGCATCCTCGAAGTTTTCGCTTGACAATTGCCCAATATTTTTCGATCAGTCTGAACTCAGGGCAATTCGGAGGACTAATCTCTTTGGAGACGAAATTAACATTGTTTGCAGCATACCATTCTAGTACCTCCTTAGAGTAGTGGCAGCTGGCTAGATCCGGCCAAAACATAACATTGGTCTTGTGTTGCCGAATGAAGGATAAAATCCACTTTTTCAGACACTCACAGGTAAAATTTTCGTCCGGGGATTTGTTTATAATCCATTTGACATATGTTTCGTCATCCATTAAAATACAGCCATCAAATTTCGGCAAAATTCGTTCGTATAGTAATCGTGCTCGCTTTTTGGCAACTAAATTTTGTTTCAGGGAGCGATTCGGATGTTTACTGGCACAAAATGACTTATATCCTTCTCTTGAAAGGATGTTACGCACGGTGGAAAAGTTGTTATCGTATTTCTTTACCAAATCACGTATGGAGACACCTGGGTTGAATTTCACGTACCGCAACACCTTTCTCCTCAGCTCTTTGTCCCTAGTGCCACTTTTATGATAGATGCACTGTGCTCTATCCACACTCAGAGTATCCTTGTAACGTTTGATTACAAGACTCAACGTTGACTTTGGTAATTTTAACACTTTTGCTATTTTTGAGGCAGACCACGAAGGGTTCTCTAGATGTTTGTGCACAATTAATTTTCTTTTCTCAAGTTCCATGATCCGTAATTTCGGGATGCGTCGATCAATCGAGAAAAACTTTTCTCCAATTTCTTCGTCAATGAAACATCAACAAATGCCTGTCAAACGTTTTTTGTTCCAACCACCAGGGGCACGGTGGTGTATTAAACCGTGCGTCCAGATTTACTTTGAATCGAGCTTTATCTAGAAATATGGAATTGCTACTTACTGTTTGCTGCGCTATTACAAATAGCAATCTAGCCAAATTTATGAACTGGTTATTTGAAGTAGATACAGTCGAATTTCACTCGTTGGGCTATCTTTAAGTGCGCTACGGTTTAGTTGGGTTCTCGTTAGTTAGGCTATAGCCAAGGGGCAAGATAATATCAATATTTTTCGATATATTTTCAATATTTTGATATATTCACGCCAAGATGATATTATCACAGTAACCTTATATCAGATTCACACTTTGACAGTTCATTGTTTTGAGCCAAACTCAAGCAGCCAAAGGAAAAAAAATATTTTCGATTACTTTTTCAAAATCTTCTCAACTGCTGCCATGAGCGACGAAATAGTCTGTTCCTCACCGTCGGTAGGTGGATATTTGGTTAGGTTGCTTGCTGTCGTTGGTGTTCCCTTCACCTTGCTCGCCTTAGGGCACAGCAACGTATGGTGCCGCTGCTTGCAGTCCGGTGTATGGCACACTGATTTCGAGGGACATGATTTCGCTTGATGTGAAGCCCGTAGGCAGTTGAAACACAGCTTCGCCTGTTGTGCCAACTCTCTTCTTTCCTGCAGATCCATCTTCTTGAATTCTTCACAAACGAACGTAGCGTGTTCTCTTGAACACTTCGCGCACTTTTGGTAGATTGTAGTTGTCACTAATGTCTTCAATTTTTTCTCACTCACAACCATTTTCACTTGTTCTTTTTTGTTCACTTCCGCTTTCTTCGAGAATGCTGAGCAGGTTTCCAGTATCTCATACCGCTGCTTCACAAACGTTGGATGCTCGTTGTCAACATCTTTCTCCGACCAGGCAGCGCGAGTATCTTTGTCCAGCTTTTCTAGCATCAAGTCAATCAGCCACGGATCGCGGCCTTGGTATTCCTCTCCTAACGCATCCAACTGTTGGACAACCTCATCCAGTGTCATCACGAGTTTGTTTAGTGATTGCAGCGAAGCTTGCGTGACGACTTGCTGATCCATAAACTCACGAACTAACGCAAACACAGCGGAACGCTGCTTGTCGTAGTGACTAAGCGTCGCCCACGCATTGTTATAGTTAGCACACGTAACCTCACTTTTTACCTGTGCACCAACCTTCAAAAACAGATTTAATGCCATATTCATACTCGAATCAATTGAAAAATATTCTTAATCTTCTAGTTAACATGATATCTATCCATTGCAAGCAATATTTTGATAACTGTTTATGTTTTGAGAGTTAGTGCACAGGTAGATTGAGGTTAAGGCGACGCCACTGTTAGCACTAGAGATGGTGAATTTGTTGACTAATTGCTTCGCATCTCCTTCCAGGTAGGAGACAAGATACTGCATTTTCAAGGAATCCGTGAGATCGTTCCTGTCGTGAATGGTAGACACGTAATTATCCTTGAATGTCATCCACTTCTTGCGGTCTCCTTTGAAACCTGACCGCCTCTCACCATCGTTGAATTGTCGCTATATTCATAGTCTGGCGTATAGATCTGGAATTGGATCTCGGTAACCAATTGAGCTGTCAAATAGCGGAACCAATCGAGAAAATCACGACCAACAACAGAAAAGAGCACATCAGCTATTGCGAACAAAACTTCGGAAACCCGTTTCTCGTAACTCAAAGGCTTGCCTACGCAAACTAACACCATCTTTGGGTTGGGGAAAGTTTTCCCTATCCGATGATGCCGGTAATTTACGTTCGATTGGCGAGGAAAGAATATTCAACGTTTTGTTTATAAAAGTTGATAGTACCTTTTCAATTGTTGGTCTAAAATATATTGAATTGGTTCCGCTTTTCTATCCATCAAATTCAAATTCTATCCGCCAGACTATGAATATAGCGACTACCGGTTCCGCTAGGCTCCGTGATAGATTCCGATGATGGAGGTCTTTCACGACCGAAAGCTCTGCTTTCACCCGAGCGATCAAAGCACTTCTTTTGCTGATTAATTTCTCCATAGTCCGAAATTCCGGTTCTCCGAAGGACCAAACGTTCTCGGAATTAACGGACTGTATTGAAAACAAATCCTTTGCATTGAAAAATACCACTTTCTTCTTCGTGTTGAATTTAGGCGTTCGATGTTGTCGCTGGGTGGATCGAGGGGTGCGTCGATACTAAAACACCTGGTTTTCTGTGCCCGGATTATAAATGGACCAGCCTTTAATGATGCACTTTAAGTGCATTTGACTGCTGGTTTGACCATTGAAATGCGTTTACAGTTCGCTAAGCAGAAGTAAACATATTCCAGTTAGCGAACGTCTAGTGTACCGAAGAAATCGTTTTTAAGATCCAAGAACAAAAAGTGGCCGCTTTGAGCGAGAATTGCACCACTACATGACTGACGTCCAGTACTCACCATGTTTGCCCTGACTGCTGATGATCGGAGTCGATGCGGGTGGTGCAGGTACACTGAAGCTCTTCAGCGGATGACCCTGCCCCCGTTTGGGGGCATCCACGGTCATCCCCGGAGCGTACGTCACATTTGGATTGCTGGAAAATTCGAACCCCATTTAAAAACGTTCAATCCCAAAATATAACATATTTTACCTATAGTTTCCTTCGTATGTGTACGGATTCTCCGGCGTTTGTACCAACGAATTCGCCGGAGGTAGTTGGGGAGGCTGCTGCAGCAGACTCTGCTGCGAGAGTGTCTGCTGATCGAGTGATATATGCGGCCGTGATGCCATGTTGTATTGGGTGCGTGGGTACTGCGGTCGTTCCATGGTTGAGCTCAGAGGCGTCGTTGTTCCTGCAGAATAAATTTTCAAATAAATACAATCAATTTGGTAAAGTCACCGCAAGCTACCTGTATAACCAGGAACGTAGCCTCGCTTATCCAGCGAGTTGGTCACGTGAGTGATCGGTGTTTCACTGTCAAACTCATGACCGTTCACCGATCGGGGCAGGGTCATCGCTCCGCTACTGGATGCTCCTCCGTCCACCGATCCCGGGGTCGTACTGTGATTGCTCTTGTCCAAATTCTTCAGCTCCATCTGATCGTGGTGGATCCAAAGGTCTGGAGGCTTAATTATGCCCGCATTGTTCTTCTGGTAGCTCTTCTTCGCGTGTTCGGGCGTTCCTTCCGGTTTCTTTCGACAGAGCAGGATGACTACGGAAACGGCAATCACCGCCGTTAGTATCGAAAAGCCCACGATCACGTAGATCATTTCCGACGAGATCGATTTGGGCATGGCAAGGTTCTCGCTTGAATCGACATCGGCTCCAGTTATCTGCGATACCATGGCCGAGAACAGTCCGTAGCCTTTGGAGTTACGAGTTTGTACCTTGAAGTAGTACGTAGTGTGAGATTCCAGCCCGGTGATCTCCGCACTGGTTTTGTCTCCAACGACCGCTTCGGCGTTCCACTCTCGATCCCGTTTATTGGGATCGGTGGTATAGAGCACTACGTAGCCAGTGATTGGGCTATTGCTATGACGAGGAGGCTGCCACTGGAGAATGGCCGTAAGGGGATTCCTATCGTCATAGGACACGGTTAGGTCCCTAGGTGGAGATACTGGAGCGGCTTGATGGGTCGAATTGATGACCGACATTGACCAGGCGGACTGTCGATGACCTTTGACGACTTTGACTGCGAACTCGTACTGAGTGCTGGGCCGGAGATCACCGATCATACAGTTCAGATCGGTTGTATTGTGAAACCTGATCCTGGTGCTAGCTGTCGGCGTGAACTTCACTACGTAGTATCGGTTGTCGGTTACGTGTTGACTTTTGCTCAGCGTTGTGTCCGTCCAGTAAACTACGATCGAGGTACCGGACATAGGTATGGCCCGCAATCCAACTGGAACTTCAAGCGGAGTTGGAGCTTCAATGGGTGAGTCTTCTCGTGTCCGAACGGTATCGTAAATCGGAGGACCGTCTCCCATGTTGTTGCGAGCTCTCAGCGAGATCACATATTCGGTGTTTGGTTCCAGATTACGAATCTCGTAGACTCGAATGTGTTCTTCAACGTCGGTTGTGTCTTCATCCGGGATGCCCTTGCCCCAACCGAGGATGTAGTTCCGGACCTTAATTTCCTGATGGTTTGGGGAAGCCCATGTAACTGCAATACTTTCCGCGCCAGGACGTGCTGTAAAGAAAATATTTTTTTAGAATTAGTTATATCTAGAGAGCTTCAGAGACTTACTTTTGATCCACCCCGGTTGTCCGGGAACCTGCGATTCATCCAGGTCGTTCTCGTACGTTTCAATGTGATGCCACTCACTGAATGGTCCCGACCCGTTGACGGTCATGGCAGCGATCTTGACCTGATACGCTGACAAGCGGTCCAATCCCTTCAGCTCCCAATGCCTCACATTGGCCGGAGTGGTTTCCACCTGTAGAGGTTTCTTGTTCTTGCGGTAACGGATCTTGTACCCCGTGATCTGACCATTACGATCTTCCACCGGTGGCGGTTGCCACCGGATGGTTATCGATGTGGAACTGGATGCTTCCAACGTGACATTCGAGGGTGCTTCCGATGGAACGGACGAATGAGTTTTGATGACGATTTCATGCGATGGGTCTCCCATGCCCATCTGATTCCACGGGACCACGTACAGTGTGTACTCGGTGTAAGGCCTCAGTTCAGTGATGGTGATGTCAGTCGACGTAGTGTCCGAGTACAACTCATCACCATTGTCGATTTCGACGTAGTAGACGCGATATCTGGATATTTCTGCGGTAGACATCAGGGGAGCATCCCAGAGAAGGTGGATCTCCTTGTCGGACACTGCTTCTCCTCGGATGTTCTGTGGAGGCCCGGCGATGTTCTCTTCCGAGTGGGTGCGAACTTCCAGGGTTTGTGAGGACTCTCCGGATCCGTGGTTGCTGTTGCCAATCACTCGAAACTGGTAGGTCTTCCCGGGGAGAAGAGATTGGATGTTGACTTCCTGTTCGTCTCGGGATTTGGTGGTCATTTTTCGTTCTCTGTTGAAGATGGGATAGTTGTGTTGTTGATGTTGAGTTGATGCATTTGTTTTGAAAACGAGTGATTATCAACGATAATCAAGGATATGCAAGGATAGGATGCCCAAAGGATGAGATTCGCTACCTTTCAAAATAATGATCTTACCTCTCGCTGGTGTGCATCTTGTAGTACACCGAGTACGATATAACCTCGTCCGGATTCTTGGCCGGTTCCAGCCAGCTCAGTGTGATGAATCTCGGCTTCACGATCTGTGCCTGCAGATCTCTCGGCGGTCCCGGCAGCGGCGCTGCGAACTTTTCGCTTCCATCTAGCAGGTGCGATTTCGGATATTTCCGTGTGACGGCATTGGGAAGGTACGAATTAGAAAAGTGCCCAACTTCGCCCCCGTTCTCCGACGATCGGGATCCGGTCAACGATTGGTACAATTTGTTTGGGTCTTCGTCGGGTCTAAGGGCATAGATTTTCCCACTGTCCTCGTCCTCGTCGTCATGGTCTTCCTCGTGCTCTAGGTAGTCGTCGTCGGTGTATTCATCGTACTGAAACTTGTTCTGATTCACGTTTGCCTTGTCCTTGGTTTTGGACAGCAGACTATCCAGCACCACCTTGGACAGTTTCGGATCCGAATGGATGGGTTTTTCGTACGATTTCATTTTGCCCTGATTGTGATGGAACTTTTTGCTTTTGTGTCGTCTCGTTTGCCCTGTCGTCATATTTGAGTCAAGTCGAACCAAACATCGTCGGATCGTTTGCATGCAAAAACAAACCGAACCCAATCCAATCGACGGAGCAATAAATCATAATCAACCGAAATCCGAAGAGCGCAACCAAAATCGATAAATCGCATATCCAACGGAAGAAAATGAAACGAAATCGGAAAAGAAATGGGGAAAAATGTCATCAAATGCAAAACGAATAAAAAAAAAATCACAAGTCGAACGAGACAATCGAGAGGATGCATTGCACCACTCACTACTTCGCGAGAGAAGGGAAGGACGGGAGTCGAATGACAATAAATTACCTGGTTCGATAATCTCGAGTCGGGCCGCAGCCTGTACGCTGCCGGCTGGGTTCGTTCCGATGCATTGAAACATTCCAGCGTCGGAGCCAATCAGGCCGAATATTTTGAGGTTGTGGCTGTTTTATTGACGATGCAAAAATACGAAGAAAATTAGTCAATTGGAATGATAAATTGGCAGCAAGGTCAATGGCTGGCAAAAGTTAATGATTTATAACTTTTGATTGTGCAACTGACCTTGTTAATTAATTAATAAATCAGGAAAACTCACCCTCCAACGATCTGCATGTATTCGTTCGGAGTGATCAAATCGCCGTTTTTCAACCACTGAATGATCGGCGTTGGCTTCCCATGGATGGAACACTGGAGCTCCAGCTCCTCTTTCTCGTAAGCCACCTTATCCTCGGGACTAAGAATGAACTTTGGAGGAACCTGCACTTGCACCGTCGCCGAAGCATCCAACGAATCCTCCGAATTGCTCGCCCTACACTGATAATCCCCCGCATCGACGTCCTGTATCGAACTGATCTGCAGCGATCCCGTCCCAATTATCCTAAACCTCGAATCCAAATCATTCATATCGATTTCCTCTCCGTTTCTCAACCATTTGATGGTCGGTTTCGGATTGCCATTGGCCACGCAGTCCAGTATCACCGTGTCGCCTTCCTTCACGGTCTGCGGTTGCGGTACGATCACGAACGAAGGAGGTTCAAAGCTTTGCGGTTGACCTGCGGTAGATTTGATGTTCAAATTCGATTTGCTACTCATGCTGGAGAATATCCCCGAGGTGACGTTGCACTGGTAGGTTCCCTGATCGGCCGGGACGACTTCGTCGATTTCCAACGCACCCGACGGCAGCAACAGCATCCGGGTGTGATCCATCCGTACGGGTGATTCATCCTTGAGCCACTCGACGTGGTAGCGTCCGGCTTCGAGGATGAATGGCAACATAGTGGACATGCACTTGAAGTAAGCCGTCTGACCGGCGTACAGGTAGATCTCGTGCGAGTCCTGGTTGATTTCCGGGCGGTCTGCGGGAGGAACAAGATGGTTGGTGATTGCTTCATTAATTGATGGTGACAAATAAATTATTTTCGTCTTAAATTTGAGAGCTAGGGTGGAGCACTACTTCGGCCCAATCGCCCATTTGGGCATATCAAGCAGAAAACATCAAATAAATCCATTTTGTTTTTAACTTTTTATTTGTTCCAAATTCAAAATAAATTACATTTCATTTTAACCTAGGTGCTCCAGTTACTACAGTAACTTACCAGCCTTAATTGTTATGATATATATCTAAGTATTTTTACATTGTTCCTGTCTTGGCCATTCAGTATTTTAAACAGGTTTTTTTTTAAACCTGCATGTCAGTACAACAATTGATATCTTAAAACTAAAAACTAAAACTAAATCTTATCTAAGTATAAAGGGAATTAATCGTTGCAATTGAGGATTGCAACGATTTTTGCCTGAAATTATTAATTATTTTGTTGGACATTTGTTCTAAAGTCTCAACATTCGAAATTCTATGTACTTCGGTAGTACTGTACCAGGGAGGCAACTTCAAAATCATTTTCAGAACTTTGTTCTGAATCCTTTGAAGTGCTTTTTTCCTGGTAGTGCAACAACAAGACCATATTGGCACAGCGTAAAGCATGGCCGGTCTAAAAACTTGTTTAAATATTAGAAGTTTATTCGTCAGGCAAAGTTTGGATTTCCTGTTTATAAGAGGATACAAACATTTTATATATTTGTTACATTTGGCTTGAATGTCCTCAATGTGATCTTTAAAAGTTAATTTTTGGTCAAGTATTAATCCAAGATATTTCACTTGGTTTGACCAGGAAATTGTAACTCCGTTCATAGTGACTATGTGACTACTACTAGGTTTCAAAAAGGAACCTCTAGGCTTGTGTGGAAATATTATAAGTTGAGTTTTGGAAGCGTTGGGAGAAATCTTCCATTTTTGTAAATAAGAAGAGAAAATATCTAAACTTTTCTGCAGTCTGCTGCAAATAACACGAAGACTTCCTCGCATTTTGGTACTGAGGCTGCTCTTGCTGCAACTATAGAAGTAGTCAGAGATTCAAGAGCATAATTAATTTCATCTTTGGTTTGCAAAGGAATGTTTGGATCGAAGTTATGTTCCATAAATGTTCGATACTGCTCCCAATCAGCTCTATGGTAATTGAAAGTAGAACTGTTGGGATTAGAAATTATTTCTTGGGATATTTCAAAAGTTACTGGAAGGTGATCAGAACCGAAGTCAGCATGGGTAACCAATTGGCTACAAAGTTGACATGAATCAGTTAAGACCAAATCAATAGTTGAGGGATTTCTTGCAGAAGAAAAGCATGTTGGACTGTTTGGATATTGAATAGTGTAATAACCTGCAGAACAATCATCAAACAAAATATTACCATTGGAATTGCTTTGAGCATTATTCCATGAGCGGTGTTTTGCATTAAAATCACCAATAATGAAGAATTTAGACCTATGACGGGTAAGTTTCTGAAGGTCACCCTTGAGAAAATTCTTTTGCTGGCCTACGCATTGGAATGGCAAATAGGCAGCTATAAACGTAAGTTGTCCAAATTTTGTTTCAACAGAAACTCCCAAAGTTTCAAAAACTTTGGTTTCAAATGAAGAAAGAATTTTATGTTTGATTCGTCTATGAATAATGACGGAAACGTGGAGCGTTTCTTACCTGTCGGTTAGAACGAGATTGTAGGATCGCTTTGCGAGTCTTACATTCCCAAAAATTGGATTTGTGGTTTTCACCACAATTTGAACATTTAAATTTCTTAGGATCTTCCTTCACAGGACAGTCGTCCTTTGCGTGAGAGGAATCACCACAATTCATGCATTTAGCTGGCATGTAGCAATTTTTAGTTCCGTGACCCCATCCCTGGCACTTACGGCACTGAGTGAGGTTTTGAAAATTTCCTCCAGTCTTCCTGAAGTGTTCCCACTTCACTCGGACATGGAGCATAAGGCTAGCTTTTTCTAAGGCCTTAAGGTTGTTTAGTTCACTAGACTTGAAGTGAACTAAATAAAAATCATTAGAAATCCCGTTGCGCGAATCGCCAGGACGGGATTTCATTTTCATTTTGATTACTTGGAGTGGCACAACTCCAAGTAATTTTGCCAGTTCATCTTTGATCTGATCCAGGGATTCACCACTGGGCAGTCCTTTCATGACAACCTTGAACACACGTTCAGTTTTGGTGTCGTAAGTAAAAAATTTGTGCTTCTTCTCAGTAAGATACTTGAGAAGACATTTAAATCCGTCCAAGGTTTCAGCCAATACACGGCATTCACCCCGACGTCCAATTTGTAGAGAAAACTTAACTTTCACGAAGTTCAAAAGTTCCATGCGAAGAGCATGGAAATCGGAAGTGGTTATCACAATAGGGGGAATCTTTTCCTTCTTGGCATTAAGCCGGGAAAGTTTACTAGAATTTTTCTTGGATGATGGATCATTCTCATCATCCGTGGGCAAATCAAATAGATGACTCAAATTAATTTCATCAGAAGGGGGGTCAAGAGTTTGCCCCTTTCTTTTGCGTTTAGGCGCCATGGCGGCAGTAATTTTTTATCCAAATCGACTTCCAAGCAGATTACTATAAGAATCTGAAGGATCGAAGAGGAATATTCCAAATCGATATCCAAGAAAGATTACCTCGGGTAGGGTCCAAACAAAGATCCAAGAGGAATAAGAGTTGAACAAGGTAAAAAAATTTTTACAGGTTGAGCACTGAAAAGTGCTGTTTAAATTTGTTGTAGCTTTAGGTAGTAGTAACACTTCCTTCAGCAAAAAGCAAATAGATCCGCACGGCAGAGAGCACGATGCGGACTGCGAATACGCGTTTGTTGATATTCACCAGTGCTTGATTATCCATCCCAAAATTGTCAAAATCAGTAACGATCCTCAAAAGCAAAATAATCAAATTCATTTTGGGCAAAATGATTATTCCATCGATCTATGTGTAAAAGTTAACACGATACGTTCTTCAGCGCTATATTTGTTTAAAATGAAAATAATCATTTTGCATTTGATCCTCAGAATCATTCCCACCAAGATGAAAACGAATATTAATATTCACAACAACACAGGCGATAATGACCATCCAGCCACGAATGAACAAAATCAAATTGTCTTTGATACTCAGAGGTTGCCTTGATCAAGAGAATGTTTTTGCGTCAAAATTCAAATTCAAGCAGGTAGTTGGTCTATCTGTTAAGGTTGTCTTCATTTTCAGCCAAGTTGAATGTAGAAGGAATGATTTTTATCAGCACTGAGTGTAAATAAGGGTGTCTATGTGATGTTTTGCTGTACCTGTTGCGGATATCTAGTGCATCCTGTTCCCTTAACTTGTTGAGGACATCCTGTCTGGCCTCAAAAGTTACCCTTTTTGAAGTGCTAGTCTTCACAACATAAAGGGCACCATTACGGAGCATGAGATTTGATCAAATTATTCGCAGTTCTACTTGTCCAACGCCCCCGGCTGGGTGAGGGATAGAGGATGACACACACACGCTTATCAGAATCAAATTTGGAACCGTTTCAGCACCGTGTAGCGAAAATTAAAAAATTTGCATCGGTCTCCAAAATTTAGCGAATACCTGAATGGGCAATTTTTTGAAAGACTGTGAGTAGATAGATTTTTTTTTTAATCTTGGCTAGTGGATGAACAACTATTTATTGATTTATCAGTATAACTTTGGACTTTCTTGGCAGAGTATGTTAGAAGTTTGAGTAATTTCAGTAACACGATCAATTTTCAACTTTTTTCTTAGTAGGTGGATTTTAGTTTGCCTCAATTGAAACATTTAGTTGTATAAACTTGACGAATCATACCTCTAAAATAGTAGTAGTTACAGTGCCGCATTATCTAACAACCACTGCCTGCAACTAATGTTGGAGGGGTCAGCAGGGCTGATTACGGATCAAAACTAACATAACTCTAACACTGAAATGATCCCGAAACTAACGCTCATTCATTGCACTTTGAGTCATAAAGTAGTTTTATTTATTTTCCTACTAATCTATCTACACACTTAGTTTTTTCTACCGAGCTCGGCTGTGTGGGTCTCGGCGGGGAGGGGGTTTCGCTGAGATCTCGGCGGGAGTGACATTTGATTGCCGAGTCTCGGATAATGCCTTTTCTAATAATCTGCCTACGTTTCTTTTATTTGTTATCTACTTCATCCCTTTTTTATTTGTCTGCTTCTCTTCTTTTGTTTTGTTTGTTTACATATAACTAATACTAATACCTCCTTGTTTTCTCTCTAATTTGTCTACTATGTCCCACCATCACGATGAGAGATGAGCTACCGTACATAGTACACGCTCATATACACTCCCAAAATAGTATGCCGCAAGTAAGTATATCACAGAGGCAACTAAAGATCCAGAAACAAAAACCGATAACGCTGAAGATAATGAGCTGTGGGGATTTATATGACTAAATAGTATTATTTATTTATACTAACCTAAACACAACGTGGGGTGACCCAAATCCAAACGATCACTAACCAAAATAATAGACTTATCTTTTTTCAGCAGCACTACACCAGCCAGCAAAGTTCAACCATCCATCGTTGCTTATGCCTTTGTTGTCGTTTGGAACCAGTTTTGCGAGGTAGGCGACGATTGTGCGTATTTCTCGCGTAACTTTTGAAAAGAGCCTATTTATAGCCTGAACAATACGTAAAGAGCAAATTGAAACATTGAACGTCGCGTGAAAGTGGAACTTAATGAAGGCCTAAGTACTTTTTCGTAGTTTTTAGTTTTCGGATTTGAAAGATCGTCGGTTACAGTGTCCTGCTTACTGAGCAGAAAAACGTGGTCCCAGGTCCTTACATATCAAAGAGATTTATGGTAAAATCGCTTGTGTATCGTGTATTTTGCGAAACTCGTTGTTGTCGTTGGTTCCGGGTTTGAATGGATACAAAAATTTGAGCAACGGTATTATGTGATATGAGGGGCTCGGTGGTCTTAGAGCAACCGTTTTTGCTTACTGAGCAG